AGAGAGCGCTTTCATAAACATGGAGTGGGAAAGACGGAACTCGAACGTCAAAGCCAAAAGACAGAAAAGACTAGCAAATGGAACTAAAGTCGAGAAAAGAAGTTGAAAAAACAAACAACATGCCAGGAAAACTTAGTTACAATTCATATTCTAGACAAAGATTCAGACTCACAGTGAGCCAACAGAACTGCCAGTTCCTCTGACATCTTCGTTTGATATCATTGTTGTAAACACTGTGCCAGTCCCCATGGCTGAGAGGCTTCCTCTTTTCTGCTACCAAGCATAATGTCCCTCTCCACAGATTGATCCCTCCAGATCACATGTCCAAAATAGATGAGACTACGTCTCCACACCCTAGCTTTTAAGGAACATTCTGGCTATACTTCCTCCAAGACAAATGTGTTCATTCTTCTGGCCATTCATAGTACTTGTATATTCTTTGCCAGCATCATAATTCAACGGCACCAACTCTCCTTCCTCTCCTTTAGCCATTGTCCGGCTTTCACGTGCCTAAGAAGTGATTAAAAAGACCTTGCTTTGGGCTAGATGTGTCTTAGTCATGAGTGTTATCTCTGATTTGCAGCACATTCATGAGTTTTTTTGTTGCAGATTTGCCAGAGCAGTATGTTGTCTGATTTCTTGATTGCTGAATGTGCAGCCAAGAAAATCAACCCCTTCGTAGCTTCAACCTTTTCACCATTTATCATGATGTTGTCTATCGGTTGTGAAAATTTTTAGCTGTAGAAAACAAAGAGTCATGCAGATAAATATGGCCCATCTCTTCAGAGGTCTGCATGGACAAGTGGCCAAAGACCTGATGCTTGTTAGTTGTTAGTTGTAGCAATGACTTCTCCCTCCTGGGGAGTTCCTGCACAAAGGGATTGAACCATTGTGATACACAGAATTTTCACTGGCTAGATTACAAGAAGTAGATCACCAGGTCTTGCTTCCTACTCTGTGTTAGTCTGGAAGCTCTCATGAAACCTGTTCAACTTCATAGCAACATGCAGGCCTCCAGAGACAGAAAGGTGATATCTCCACTGAAAGTGTACTGGCCAGGAATCTCCGAAGGAAGGTTAGAAGTATACCACTGAGCCAACAATGCCGCCTACCTCCAAAGAGCTGATAATTAAAAAAAAAAAATCAATACCCAAAACAAAACAGACTTACTGCCATTGAGTCGATGCCAACTCACAGCGACCTACTAGGACAGGGAGAACTGCGCCTGTGGGTTTCCCAGAGTATAACTCTGTATGGGAGTAGAAAGTCCTCTTTCTCCACAGTTCGGCTGTCAGTTAGCAGCTCAATGTGTAACCACAAAGCCACCGGGGCTCCCAAGGAGGTGAAAGAATTATGGATTATCTCAGAGGATGTCACTTTGAACAGAGGATAACAAAGACCAACGAGATCCATCTGCAAATGACCTAGATTTTGCAAATGCTCATTATATCTTGGTGAGGAAGAGGAAAGGGAAGAGGACTGGCGTTGCCTGGAATTTGCTTTCTCAACCTCAAGGACAGGGATTTGAGATGCAAATCTAGTTATACAGAAATCAGCCGTGTTCTTCCATAGCTGACTCAGCCAAGTGCGATCTGAAGTCATTTTCTCTAGGTAAGTGATCCAGTCAATACAATTTTTCCATCTTCTATATCCCTTCTAACCTGGCTGATTATCTGAGTCAGCTGAGCGAGAACTGGATGCAATGAGTCCATCAGGGGAGAGTCTGAAGGAGCCCAACCGCACTGTTGGGAAAGCTTTGGGTTGGGTTGCTAGTTGCCAGATCAGTGGGGCAAGCCCACCAGCAGCTCTGGGATTGTAAAGATTTACAACCGGGGAAATGCTCTGGGATCACGATGAGTTGGAATTGACTCGAGGGCAATGGGTTTGGGTTTGGAAGAGAGTGTGAGGATTGGTCCAGTTTGGGAACCTATTATTATTATTGCATCAACCATGATCAGAAATGACAACACAAAACAAGAGGAACAGGTATGAAAAGAGGTGACAACAGATTCAATGAATGGATATAACTTGGAAATGGGAAGGCATCTGGGTCAGGAAGGGCAGGGACCGACAATGCAATCAATATTGGTGAGTCAAAAGATCCCTCAAGTCACCACACACACGGATCTGAGAAAACTAACTTGTGGATAAATAGGCTAGAAGTTCTCAATCTGAAAACTCACTGCCACTGAGTCAATCTGGCTCACAGGGACTCTATAGGGCAGGGAGGACTGCCCCTGGATG